CCCGGATAGTCTTGTGGACACCCGAGGTCCGATTCGGAGTCGCGACACCTCAGCTCGCAGTGATGGAGGGTCGGCCCGCCGCGGAGCCCGGCCGCCTGGAATGCCTCCTAACGGTCCTGCAGGGCCGGCGTTCGGAACCGCCCGCGGCGGGGGAGCCAAGGGCGAGGGATCTGCGTTACTGCTCACTCGTACGCGGTCCGCTCGCCCCAGCCCGCGCGGCAGTGGACCAGTCAGACTCGGCCTCGGCCCGAGGCCGGCATCGTCCACGCCGGGGCTTCTCGGAGGAATGGACCCGGGGGCCCCGCGCCTCTCGCTGACCAGGCACGCGCCCCGATGTGCATCTATTCGAAGGGAACTTTCGGGGGGGGGGGGGGGGGCGGATGTTCAGATGCAGGTGACTGCTCATCGAGAGGTTTTCTAAACATCATGTGGAGAATAGCACGCTGTCGGGAGGTCCTGAGCCATGTGTATTAACGGGTTTTTGTGGTTATTTAATCAACGTGCTCAGGGGCGTTCAGTCACTTAGGAGCGGAAAGGACTCACTAGATTCCACTGAGTTGCTCCCGAGCGATGGAGGCAACGCCTTGGCTGATGGTTGGGTCCCAGCGCTGTCAGAGGCATGAAGGGCCTCAGCTCCTTGTCTGGCCCGCGCGTCCACGCCGGGGACATGGATGGGTGGCCTTCCGCTCGCAGACACCGGGGTTCGGAGCAGAACGGCTTTCCCAGGGGCTGTGCTACGGCGTTCGCGTTCCCTCCCGGGCTGTTGGAACCGTAGATGTGGATGGTCCTCTGTGGGGGGAAGTGGAAACTACCCGCGTGGGCCTGGCACCTGCTAGCAGCTAGGCGATGAGTAAATGCTACCTCCCCTTGCTGTTCTGTGCCTCTCCCGTAGTTCTCAGTTTTATTCTTCACAGGGAGCAGCTATGGGGAGTGCTTGACGCTTTGACTGCTGTGTCACCATATCCTGTCTTACATTGCTGTCATTTGCTCATTTTTTTTTTTATCTTCCTTCTAGGACTTAGTTCTCTTGAAGGTCGGTATCATCAGCTCGATGGTATTAAACATGGGATGGATTCTGTACAGTTGTACAAAGAAAGGTGAAAATAGGGAAGCCAGCTGCCTGCATACACTTAAAATAAACAGATGTCTCATGCTGTCATCAGTCGGAAGGATTAAAAGCTGACAAGGATGGATGGGCACAGGCGGCTGGACTCAGCCTTGCATTCATGTTGGAGGTTGGACGGAGACTCTCCCCCATCCATCCAAGCTGACTTTGTCATACCTTTTTGGCCTGCATGTGCCTTCTTATTTTATTGCCTAGAAAGGGTACATAAATATATTGGTAATTGGTTTTAATTAAAGGGCATTATGTTGGTGGCAAGTCTAATAAATTCTCATCAGCCAAAGTATTTTGATATTTTATGAGCAGTATCAAATGTGGAGTCTCATACTAATCCACAAATGCATCATTTTATGAATTCTAAGCCAAATACGCAACTTAAAATAATTCTTATTTATCCCATTATTAAGTCTAAGCTTAAATACACATTTTCTAATACAGGATGGAACATTTAAAATATAAATTCAGTGAGGGCAGGGACAGTATCTATGCCAGGGACACAGTAGGTACTTAATAAATGTTTGCTGAATCAGTGAAATTCTTGAAATATATAATGAGTGCTAAGAACGATAAAGATAGAACTATACCTGAAAAGAATCTTAGAAATCATCAAGTTTAGCCTTATCATTATGTAGATGAGGACTTGAGGCTTAGCCAGGTTAGTTATTCATAATTACAAAGCTAGCCGTTATTTGATGTGGGAATCTGACATAGATTTCTGACCTTCAAGGTCAGTGTTTCAGCAGCATCACTACACTGAATATAGATTAGCACCGTATTTAGTTACCCAAGTGTTACCCTTTCACAAGTCAGTGGACAATTCTGGATTAATGTTGTCTAGGGCTAAAGGGTAGTGGCTTAGGGAGCTGTCTCACTCTGCCACAGATTTTTCCAAAAGCAGTGACAGTGAAAGGTAGAACTTTAATTAAACAATGATGTTAGATGGAAAAAAACAAGTTACTCTCATCTTTTAGAAGTTGCTATTTTAAAAAAGTTGTTTCTGGTTTCCCTCAAACTTGTTTGGCTGAACTTTTGTTGAGGTAATTTAGCATTTATACTATTACAGTGAAAATCATATTAAGACCTTTAGAAGCAGCAGATGTTTTCAAAAGGTAATTTTAATGCAGTTTTTTTTTCTTTTTCCACTAGTGGAAAATAATTTACTCCTCTAGTTTGAGTATAAGGCAAGGGAAGAAAACTCTTTCAAACTATAGTTTGAAAAGCTTGGCTTAATATTCCTAAAGACTTATCTAACTTCGCTATTAGATCCAGAGTGTCTTTAAAACACATTGTATATGTTTTATTTTTCCCACTTTCTCCCCATGGATGTTTCTTTTTACTTTCTTTATTTTGTTCTTTCAGTTACAGGAACTTCTATGTAGCTATTTTGGCCTTGGTTTGTAGGTAGTCTGTTGCTGAATCGGGACAGATAGTAATATTGGACAACCTAAAGCTGTTTCAATTGTAAAGGAGTCCTAAACAGAGGACATAGGCTTAGCTTGCAAGCAACTGAGGAAACTTGATCCTCAGAGTTGAGACTGTGGAAGTTGAATGGAAGTTCTTACCATTGATTATGGGAAACGCCTTTACTGCTATTGATATTTGTTTATGTTGAAGTGAAGCAGTATAAAAAAGGAGAAAACTGGAAAGTTGTTTTGCCAGTGTTATTACCTTTGTCTCTGTTCTTCAGATTGCTTGAGAAGACCAAGAAGTGATTTCCTCTGACCTTATATCCATGTGTCCCTTTGGCATTCTGTACTTCCCTATCCTTCTCAAATCAGCAGTGACAAATCAGGAAATAGGAGGGAAAGAGTGCAAAAACAGAATTTGTCCAGTATTCTCTAGATGTCTTGGTTGAGTTTGTTCTGTAGGCCCTTAAACCTCCCAATGTTTTGGTATCATTTTGAACTTCCCAGCAACAATTGGGTTATTTCAGTATTCCATACTGAAAACAACAAAGGCCACAAAAGTGGCAGAAAGCCATCCTAGATGGGCCTACAGAAAAGTTGAAAGATTCATTGAGAAGTGTTTTTGTTTGTTTGTTTGTTTTTAGTTTGTATATGCACAGGAGAATGAGCTCAAGACTCAGAAGGAATAGTTGTTGAACGTTAAGTTGTAGACTGATTGTTTTTAAAAGAACATTGCAAGTTTCTATTCTGAAAAATGTTTTAAAATAAGGGGGCTGAAGTATTTAGATTATCAGTAAGAATTTTTAGATGTCTTTAACTAAGAGGACCAATTTGAGCAGTAACAACTATTACTATTCTTCAGAAGTTTGTCAACATTTATGGATGAGGCCTAAAGAAAAGCTACCCATTCCTCCCACTGCATTCAGTAATGGCTTTCTTCCCCTTGTAAAGTGTGTAAGGTGAGTCCTGGGTTGTATTGCTTGAGCCTCACAGGTCTGAACAGCAGTAAGGTAGAATGTTTGCACTCAGAGAGGTTATTTACTAATTTTAGAGTGGAGACTGCAGGAATACCATAAGTGGAGACAAAGAATGATATGAGTGAATGAGGGTTGTGTGTGTGAGAGAGCAAAAATAACCAAGAGGCATTCATCTCTGCATTTGATATAATCCAAGAGTTGAAATTCTAAAAATAAAATTTGCTCTACTGTGACCACAACTTTATTTATTCAGTTACTCACAAATATTTATTGTGAATCTCTTATAGCCAGAGAGTGTGCTAATACTAGAAATTTATTCAGTGTTGAACAGAATGTCTACCTTCATAGAGCTTACATTCTAGCGAAGGGCACTGGTAATTAACAAGTAAGCAAACACAAATAATATAATATAGTTAGTGTAAGTACCATAAAGAAAATAAAGCAGGTTCAAAAGAGAGTGTATCAATTTAGGGCCCAGTTAGGAGACAGAAGTCAATGCAGTTTTTTAACATGAAAAGTTTATTAGAATTGCTAACTTTTTAGGTGAATTGGAGTAAAAGAAACTCTAAAATATAGGAGTAACAGTTATAAGGAGCAGCCACCATTGCTAGGGCTAACAGAGTGCCAAAGTAAGAGTCCTCTCCCCAAGATCCTGGCCTTGTTAGAGAGAGTTCTGACCATTTCTCACTGAATGGCAAAGAAGTTACTGGTGCCACACTGGTGGAACTTACTGGAAATTCATCCTTCAGAACTTGCCGGGAAATATAACTTCTAGGGTAGAGGTTGGCAAACTACAGCTATCTGTTTTGCAAATAAAGTTTAATTGGATTTAGCCATGCTTAGTTTATTACATAGTGTCTATATAGTTGCTTTCTTGCTACAGGGGTAGAGTTATGACCCTATGATCTACAAGTTTAAAATATTTACTATCTAACCCTTCAAGAAAATGTTTATCAGCCTTTGGTCTAGAGCAGTGGTTCTCAACCTTCCTAATGCCATGACCCTTTAAT